ATATGTAAATTTTTTAAAAAATAAAGAAAAGCCCTTCCAGACCCTATAATGTTGTCTCTTCCTCTTTCCTGGAAAAACAAAGTCCAATTAAGTCCAAACCAGAAGTCCCACCTCTGCATTCCGAGCTCCTCATACCTTTCTGCTACCTCATTCTTTACTGAGCAGTCAGCAAACTATCCCAAGTCTGAACAAGTATGAAACAGACAAGAAGACAACAGTGCACAAAGTGGACTACATCAGGAAGAAAGCAGAATGACATTTTGTTCTGGGATAATGAGAAAATGCAGTCAGGAAAGGACACATATGTATAAGGAACAAGCAGGCAGCAGACTTAGTGAGAAATTCTAAATACAGGTCAGCGGGTCATGGCTGGTGGACAACTCTAATCCTAGCACCCGGGAGGCAGAGTTGCAGGCCAGCCTGGTCTACATATCGAGTTCCAGGTCACAAGAGCAACACAGTAAGATCCGGTCTCAAAACCAAAAAAAAAAAAAAAAAAAAAATTCTAAATATGAGAATTTTTAAATGCTATACAATGGTAGAAAACTAAAATCAAGGAAATCTCCCAATAAATGAATGTCTGAAACAAGAGAATGGTCTAAAGAGGTCTAGTTTCTGAACAGTAACACTTTTTTTCTTTTTGTCTTTTTGAGACAGGGTCTCCCTGTAGCCCAGCTGTCCTGGAACTCACTCTGTAGACCAGGCTGGCCTTGAACTCACAGAGATCCGTCTGCCTCTGCCTCTCCATTGCTGGGACTACAGGCGTGCGCCACCACGCCCGGCTCTGAACAGTAACACTTTAAGACAGATATTAAAAAAGAAGTGAATCCCAGCATTTGGTCTGAACCCCGGCACCCACATGGCAGCTAACAACTGTCCGTAACTCCAGTTCCAGGGGATCCGATGGCCTCTTCTGTCCTCCGCGGGCATTGCACGACACGGGTGCACTTACCTACATGCAGGCAATACGTGTATACACATAAAATAAATATTTAGAAAAGACAGAACGAAAGGAAGGAAGGAAAGAAAAAGAAAAGTGAAACAACGTAACTGGGGGGTTTGCTGAGGGTGAAATGACACACAGATGTGTCTAAGCATCTGAATGTTACCTGTGTAGCTTCAAAGTCAGGTACAAATCAGATAATTCCAGTATTTGGAAGATGAAATCATTACCCAGGTACAGTGTACTTGAAATAAAATGTGTAATAGGGGAATGCTTTTGAAACTTGGAACTCCTCAGCCCAAGTTCCCCTGCATTGATGAGGACAACATTTTGCACTCTAGTATTCACTGCCAGCAAATGTGCCGTATCATGACCAACACTTGGCCAAACGGTGAAAAATGAGACAAAACTAAGTGACCCCATCACTAAAGTGGTCAGAACAAACTCCCTAACACACACCAGGCAACACAGAGGCTGATGAGAGATATGTCAAGCTGGAGAGTTGGCTCAAGAGTTAAGAGCACTAGCTGCTCTTGCAGAGGACCCAGATTCAGTTCCCAGCACCCACATGGCAGCTAACAACTATCCACAACTCCAATTCCAGGGGATTGGATGCCCTCTTTTGGCTTCTGTGGACACCAGGCACATATGTGGTGCACTTACATACATGCAGACAAAAACATTCATATACATAAAAAAAAAATTTTTAAAGAGAAACATATCCAAATCTTTTCAGCAATATTTAGATGGGGAAGGGAGAATTCATGTGGAAAAACGTTCCATGCGCCAACAATTATTTTACCTCATAAAATATATCCTAGTTACTACAAGGATCACAATAGAACATTAGATCACTAAAGTTAGAGTTAAACTTGCAAACAGAAAAGATTAAAATATAAAAACACAATGTTTGAGATGGAGAGATGATGCAGCAGTTAAGAGCACATACTGCTTATCCACAGGACCCAAGTTCTGTTCCCCACACCCATGTCGAGCAGCTCACAACTGCCTATAACTCCAGCTCCAGGGGACCGGATGCCCGATTCAAGACCCCATGGGCACCCTGCACTAATGTGCACATACCCCTTACACACACAATTTAAAAATAATATAGGGGAGGAGGTCTAAATATGATCAAAATATACTTTATAAATTCAATAAAAAAAACACAATGCATAATGGTATCAAAGGAATGTATATGGCAGGTATACATCATGTCATATACTTCGCTGACTGGCTCAGGAGGGCAAGCAAACCTCCAGCCCTCTGCGTCACATATCCACTTACTCTATTTCAGAGCTAATGTTCAAAGGCTCACAGTTCTCGGACATGGGGAAGGCGAAGCCATTTAAAATTTAAATGAGAAAAGAACTCTGGGATAATCTAGCTCTGTGAACTGTGCTTCCTGCAGCTCCTCCTCAGGAGGGCTACGTCTTCACATACTTGAGGAACTAAATGTGACGGTGATTCTATGAAATGTCTTTGTTCTTTAGTCCTATGCACATCAAGCTCTTCCCCAGAAAACTTTAAGTTTTATGTTTTGCTGTTGTTTGAAATAGGATCTTATGTAGCCCAGGACGACTTCACACATGTAGTCCATGTAGTCCAAGATGAGGATGACCTTGAACTCCTGATCCTAATGCCTCTGACTCTCACATGCTGGGATGATCATACCTGGCCAGTTTTTCACACAGGTCCGCAAGGTCCGCAAGTGGGCTTTGGTTATCTATGCAGCCCCACTCAATGTCTTCCAAAATAAAGAAGCTATATAGATGCACATGCTCCTGTAAATATTTTTGGCTTCTCCTAAAATCACCTGGAACTATCTTCATAAAGCTACAGTGTGGAACTGGAGAGATTAGAGAGATGGCTCAGCAGTTAAAGAGCACTAGCTGCTCTTGTGAGGACCCAGGTTTGGTTCCCAGCCCCGACATGGTGACTAACAACCGTTCATAACTAGAGTTCCTGGGAATTCAACGCCCTCTTCTGAACTCTGCAGAGATTGCATGCACAGAGTATACTTACATCCATGCAAGCAAAAAACTCACACACATAAAATAATTTTTTTTAAAGTTTTACTGGGCTGGGCATGGTGGTGCATGCCTTTAATCCCAGCACTCCAGAGGCAGGCACATCTCTGTGAGATCAAGGCCAGCTGGGGCTATAGGGACAACTTGTCTCAGAAAAACAAAACAATTATACTGGAACAAGGGGCAGAGCTCAGTTGGTAGAATGCTATCTAGCATACACAAAAAAACTTGGGTTTGATCCCTAGGACTGCATAAACCCAGTATGGTGGTGCCTCAGAGTCAGGAGGGGAGGCAGGAGGGATCAGAAATTCAGGGTCATCCTCAGCTACCTAAGTTCAAAGCCAGCCTAGACTACAGGAATCCTGTCTCAAAACCAAAAAAAAATCCTGGTGTGGTGGCACAAACCTTTAATCCCAGCACTCAGGAGGTAGAGACAGGCAGATCTATACTTCCATGAGTTCAAGGCCAGCCTGGCCTAAACACAGGAAGTTCTAGTTCAGCCAGGGCTACATAGTGAGACCCTATCTCAAAATAAAAAAAAAAAATTTAAGTGTGTTTCAGAATGAAAATTTTTGTTCATTCTCATAAACAGATTTTCTAGTTTGTTGTCTTTATAGTTGGCAAAATAGTATTTAATTTGAATACCTCCTAAAACATAACTGCTGTACTGAGCAGACAACTTAGCAAATCTCTTGTTCTGGGACTTACCCTTAAAAGGCAGTTCGATAGATCTTTTGTTTTCTTTTTACTACTACTTTTTTGTGGGTATCTGCACAAATCTTTAGCTTATATGTAAGTGTACGATGTATGTGCCTGAAGTGCACTACATGACTGGTACCAAGAGGTCAGAAGAGGGTGCCCGAGTCCCTGGAATTGGAATTACACAAGTTTGTGAGCTGCCAATATGGATGCTGGGAACTGAACCCAGGTTGTCTACAAGAGCTGCCAGTGCTAGTACCACTGATCCCATCTCTCTAGCCCCTCCAAAAGTTTTTTTGTTTTTTTTTTTTTTGTCTTTTGAGACAGGGCTCCCTGTAGCCACAGCTGGCCAGGATTCAATATGGAGACCAGACTAGCCTCTAACTCACAGAGCTCAACTCACAGAGCTCCACCTGCCTCTACCTCCTGAGTGTTGGGATTTAAGGCGTGTGCCACTAATAGTATTTTAAATGGGTTAATTGTATGGAGATGAAAAAGACTAAGCATAAGCTACAAATTCAATGACTCGAGAAAGACCCCAGTGACTTCATAACCAACTGCTCTTAAGCACTGTTTTACCTTCAACCATCCAGTGATACCAGTTGGGATGCAAACACAACATTGCCTGAACGCAAAGCCTAAACTTTTTAATTGTTCAGCATTTTGTCTATTCAAATTAAAATCAAGAAATTTTTTAAAATATTTTATTTAAAAATATTTATTATTTTATGTGTATGAGTGTATTGTCTGCATGTAAGTACATGCACCTGTGTCACATAATGCCCTTGGATGTCAGAAGAGAGTGTTGGATCCTCTGGAACTGGAGTTACACATGTGGTTACCTGCCATGTGGATTCTGGGAACAGAACCCAGGTCCTCTGCAAGAGCTCTTAACTACAAAGCCAGCCCCATGGCTGACACTTTTAATCCCAGCACTCAGGAGGCAGAGCAGGCAGATCTCTGAGATCAAGTCCAGCCTGGTCCACATAACGAGTTCCAGGCTAGGTGGAGCAACAGGGAGACTCCAAAGAAAAAAAACAAATAAATAAGCAAAAAATCAACAACAACAAAACAAAACCAAAAACAGTTATCAGTGATGGACTCTTAATGCTCAATCAAATGTTTAAGCAAACAGAAACAACTGGAAGTGCAGTTAAGTATTTTATTGAGGCACAACAAGGCGTTGTAACTTGTCTGGCGTTGAGGCAGTCAGTTCAGTAAGCTGACCGGGTTAGCACAGTTAAGGGTTAAGTGCAAACAATATACATTCACTGCAGTACTAGCGGAGGCTACATCACAATGTATGAAATGCCAAATTAGAGCTGTCATTCTGCTGGAAAGTTCTCACCTAAGGAGGAAAACAAACAAGGACTCCTCCTCCTTCCCGAGGAACCAAACATTTTCCCAAACCAGTCAGTCACCAGGGCAAGGACTACTTTTCCCTGGATCCCACTGGTGAGACTACCACCTTTTACTGTCAGCTCTGAACCGCCTTTCAATCTTGATAAAGAAGATAGCCTGAAAATGTTGAGTATTTCCAGCTACTTCCATAAATTGCTCCCCTGTGCAAACGTAACCATATCTGGTCTCCCTGGAGGAGCTGTAGAATAGCATGGTTACTCGCAGTCTCATGGTCTGGAGCACCGTCATTGGCATAGGCTGATACCAAGACCTCCTCATTCTTCATGAGGTTGACATACAGTGGCACGTTCACTGCCAGCTTTAACATGTGGAAAATGAACACGTAGGTGCCATTCACCGGGCAACTGAATCTGCCAAGCTGAAGATCAAAGGTCTCTCCCAAGTTGTTCAAGAGAAGATCAAACACAATAGGTTGGTCTAAAGTGCCAGGAGCCAGGTTGGACGTTCTAGCTGCTGAGAAGGCAACTCGCATTTGCTGAGGAAGGGGATAGACATGTACTGGCAGGATGGCGGGTGCTGGGCTTGTCACTGGCACGTCCACGGGGGTCACGCTCCGAGAGTCCCCCTGCCCAGAGTCTCTGCTGTTAAAGGTCTCGCTGTCCCTTTCTGGGCTGCTCACATGAGAGGAGTTGCTCCACCCTGCTGTTTATTAGCAACAGTGAGTTTCTCAAAGCCAAGCCCTTAGCTCTAACACATGTCACACTACTTAGCTACTAAAACAGCAATTACAAAACTAAAGCAAAACAATGTGCCTAGATTTTACTTTTCCTGGCAAAAAGCTTTTATTACAGCCAGAAAGACCTAGACAATCTTGTGCTAACTGCCTTTTGTTTGTAAAGATCAAGACAATGTGCTATCCTCCCCAGTTGGATAACTTACCAAAACTGGTTAACATTAGCAAAGGCAGAAACCCAGATGTGAGCACTGTTTATCTCTCTTTCCTAACAGTTCATTCTTCAGTGTTCAATCTGAAGGACTTGAGAAAACTTAAGATTAGGTAGAAGGCACTGGTTTTCAGAACTACTACTAGCTACGCAGATGTTCTGACAGGAACTAAGCCCCAAGATAAACACTTAGTTCTTATTTACAAGTTAATGTTTCAATTTCCAAGACATTTTACTATTCCATTTTCTGTGTGTATGTATTTTGTGTGCATTAACATGTGCATGCCCATGTGCATGTGAAGTCCAGAGCTTAGTATCTTCTACAGGCCCTTAGCACCTTATTTTGGAATAGGGGCTCACTGAACGTGGAGCTCACTAGCTGGCAAGACTGGCTGGCCCAGCAAGCCCCCAATCTGCCTCCTAGCATTGGAGATAAAGGTGCTCATCACAGCACCCAGCTTTTTACATGGGTGCTGGGGATCTGAACGCACATCTTCATGCTTACACAGTAAGTACTTTTTCCAGCAGGCTATCTCCCCAGCCCTGAAGCTGTAACCTTTTAGGAGGTGGTACACAAGAACCACTGCTTGACATGAGAAAAGGCATCACAGACTCTGGTCACTTCCTTAAATCAAAACACTGCTTACCTTTGACAAAGTTGTCTTTACTGACTTCATTTTTCAGTTATACTGAAACTTGGAATGGTCCCCTTTAGCAAGGTCACCGGCCTGCAAATTTTTTTTTTTTTTTTTTTTTGGTCTTTTTGAGACAAGGGTCTCCCTGTAGCCCCAGCTGGCCTGGAACTCACTATGTAGACCAGGCTGGCCCTGAACTCACAGAGATCCGCCTGCTCTGCCTCCCGAGTGTTGGGATTAAAGGTGTGTGCCACCACTACCATGCATTTTAACTGCTGCTTATTCAAATCAACACAGACACCAGTACTGTTTATTAGAAAAGCAGTCATCCTGAATGAGCATGTGATTCAAAGTCAACATGGAAAATTGTATATAAGGCTCAATTATGCTCCAGTGTCAAGCAAAAAAAAAATTTTAGAAAACATACACAATTGACAACTAGGTCCCCACACCCTCCTAGTAGTCTACTGCCGCCTCTCTTTAGAGTTATGTTTAAGCAAACTGAACACCCCACAAATAAATGCTGAAAGCAATGTGCTTAGGAATAAGTTGACAGGACACAATGAAGTACAAGCATGCTTTAAGTAAAGAATTCACGCAGGCACTACCCCTTACCTCTTGAATTGGCCTGAGGACCACCGGACATCGCTGCTCGTTTATAACATTGCTGGAAATTATCCTAAAATGAATACATGAATATTTAGTATCAAATTTCAGAATAATTAGCATTTAGGGAATAGAGATATGGTGCTGAGTAATGATGGGAATTCAGAAGCGGGATACAGAAGGACACAGTAAAGTAAGAACAGCACAGAATTCTTCATTAGGATCCAGTTTGTAAATCACATGTGAAGACCAGGGCCAGTGAGAAGTCTCAACAGGTGAAGAGATTTGCCACCAAACCTGATAAGCAGAGTTGGAATCCTGAGACCCACATGATAGAGAGAGATACATCCAAGTCCTGCAAATTATCCTGTGACCTCTACACATATGCCATGGCACACATGCTTCTGTGCACACATGCACACACACAGACATACACACACTCAAGGTTTTTTTTAATATTTATTATTTTTATTTTATGTGTATGCATGTATGGCCTGAATGTACCTAAGTAACACCCATGTCGTGCAATGCCCATAGAGGTCAGAAGAGGGCATATTGGAGCCCCTGGAACTGGAGTTACAGACAATTATTAGCTGCCATGTGGATGCTGGGAATCAAACCCAGGTCTCCTGTAAGAACAGCTAGTGATCTTTAACTGCTGAGAGCCATCTCACCAGTCCCACTAAACTAAAGTTTTTTAAAGCCAACCTGTGGGGGCTGGAGAGATGACTCAGCGGTTAAGAGCACTGACTGCTCTTGCAGAGGACCCAGGATTGATTCTCAGCACCCACATGGCAGCTATGAACTGTCCTTAACTCCAGTTCCAGGGGAATCCAAAACCCTCTTCTGGCCTCCGCGGCATTGCACGACCCGGGTGCACTCACTTACATGCAGGCAATACACTCATACACATAAAATAAAAATAATAAAAAAAAAAAACAAATTTTTTTAAAAAAGCCAACCTGTGGAGCAGGGCATGGTAACCCACACCTTTAATCTCAGCACTCC